CCCCAGTCGATTTAGTGCGGTCTGCAGGGCCAAGAATCAGAGAAGTTGTAATTTGGAGTTTTCAGCCAATGCGGTCCGCAGTCCATTTATGCGGACCGCACTAGAAGCCTCCGCGGCCGCAGTCTATTCTCTGCGGTCCGCATTGCCAAGATTCAGAGAGCTGTTTTTCAAGGCCAAAGCCCCAGTGCGGACCGCGATCCATTTTGTGCGGTCCGCACTAACCCCGCAGGGGCATTTTTGTCCAAAATTTTCAGCCTAGTATAAATAGCTTCTTTTTCCATTTTTAGGGTATCAGATATTGGAATTAAGCAGCTGCACTCGTGGGTTTGACTTTCTAAGCCATTTTTGGCAATTTTAGCTACTTTTAATCATTGAATCTTTGTATTTAACTTAGTGATTAATTAATATGAGCTTTTCTTCATCTATTTCTTGCTTTCTTCTTTGAATATGAGTAGCTAGACCCATAAGCTAGGTTTGTGGCTCAACCCTAGTGTGGATAATTGATGGGTCTTGTATTTTAGGGCTAATTTGACTATGGGTGTTTGTTATTTGGGCCAATTTCATGGTTAATTTCTGAATTAGTGGTTGCAAACACTAGTTTGTGTTGAGTTGACTTGAGCTCTTCTTGAGAAAGAGAGCCTAACTCTCCGAAATTGGTCCAACAATGAATTGGGGCGTACTCAAGAGATTGATAGCCCCAATTAAAGGGTTAAACCTCAAGAGAGTAATACCCGAATTGAACCCTAGTTGCTTGTGCAAATTTACATACCCAATTGGTCTTGAGAAAGCCAATTCGGGCAAAATCACTCGAACCACCGAGAGGTGTAGAGTGGGTAAAGTTGTGCAACAGTTATAACATACTCCCCAAACGTGTCAACGTGCCTTAGATTCAAGTACCCGTCAATTGACCACCTAGGCGGAAGTCACTACCCTAGAACCTTTTAAACCTATTTGAACAACTCGTAGCATTATAACTCTTAGCATAATTTAGTTGCAATTACCATTTGTAGATTGATAATAGTAGAAGTAAAAAAAAAACCCCAAAAATTAATAGAAGTGCAATTAAGAACACATACACAATTCTACACTAGATAGATACTCGACTCCAAATTCTAGCTCTTTGTGGATTCGATCTCGACCCTAAATAGGGTAAAAGCTGATCCGACCCTCTCTCGCTACTTAAATAGTAGTGCAGAGTAGGCCGCGATCAAGGTGCCGTGGTGTATGCTATTTGCAGATGATATTGTATTGATTGACGAGACGCGAGATGATGTGAACGCACAACTAGAGGTATGGCCCCTATTGAGGACAAGATGCGGGAAGCGCGGCTTAGGTGGTTTGTCATGTGAGGAGGAGGAACACAGGCGCCCCGGTGAGAAGGTGTAAGAGGTTGACATTGGAGGGCCTACGAAGAGGTAGAGGTAGGCCAAAGAAGAGGTGGGGAGAGGTGATTAGGCAAAACATGGCGCAGCTTCAGCTGACCGAGGACATGACCCTTGATAGGAAGATATGGAGTTCCGGAGTTCCAGGATTAGGGTAGTAGAGTACGTAGTCTAGAGTGTTCATAAAAGTAGTATTGGCACGTAGTCTCGCTTTCTGTTGATAGTAGGTTTTTATGACTAACCGTTGTTTTCTTTCATTGTTGATCACCTTACTGTCTTGTTGTTTTTATTCTGCTTTTATATGGCTTTTTGGTACTGTCCCTTCTTGTCTATATTTTTATTAATGTGGTGCCTATACTTTCCTGAGCCGAAGGCCTATTGGAAACAACCTCTCTTTCCTCACAAGATAGGGGTAAGATCTGCGTACACACTATCCTCCCTAGACCCCACAGTGTGGGATAATACTGAGTATGTTGTTGTGGTTAAAAAAATATAACTCATCGAACCATGATACTCGCGCAACACATGTACGTTGGCCATAGTATAGAGTAAAAGGAAAAAATAATCATAATATTAAAAAGGATCTTTACACAAATAGCCGGTCATATTCATTTTTTACTTTCTATATATATATATATATATATATATATATATATATATATATATATATATATATGTATATATACATATATATACATATATATACACATATATATATATACATATACATCTCCACCGGCTATTTTTAGTATAAGCGATTGGGTGGATAGCTATTTGGGTTAATTCTTCATATTAAAAAAGTATTAAGAAGATACAGGTTGATGATTTAAAGGGTAAATAGATATTTGACCACCGAAAGCTTGAGAAATCTAGTTCTGTGACCTTCTGAGTATTATAGAAATAGTTAATTGATGTATTTTATTACAAACAAAAGAAACATAACTTTACTAGGTAATTTCAAATAGTTGAATAACAATTTGAGTAATGAATTCTCCTTTTGTTAGGCTTGTAAAGCCTCATTGTTATTCGAATAGTATTAGTTCTTTTGATAACAATTAAGGTTGTTCAAAACTGAAGCATAACCGATAATCAAACTACAAAATTGACTTATTGGTATCGGGTTACAGGATTAACGGTTGATGAACGAATTAAAATTTTATAATTAATAATTTATCGATTCGGGGACGAATTACTTAATTTTATATCGGATAAACCGTTAACCCGTTAAGAATTATAATATTTATATTTTTACCCCTATGTATATATTTTATCTAACTAGTTTGTAGCATTTTACCATAACTACTTTGTAGCAATTTAAAGAGTAGAGATGCTACTTTATGATTGGAGAGCAGAATCAGTTGGAATTAAGACAAAATCGTATGAGAGATCGAAGAGTACAATCTCAGTCATTTATGAGTTCAACTTGTTACCTTAATTTTATATTTTCAGTAGCTTTTGAGTCTTTTGGATGCGCTATAAATAAGAATTGTCATTTTGTGGCTTCCCTGATCTGTATACTTCAGATTTTTGCAAAATTTTAGGTGTTAATAATAAAGTATTATAATTGCCAAATTTTGGTCTTTATTTAGAGAAATGTATATTTTTAATCGATAAACAATTGATAATTGCTAATCTGATATCAAACCGCTTATCGGTTGACTAGCATATTAGTATATTTAAATGCCGAGAATCGATAAATTGAACCGTTAAACATAAATATCCGCTCAATCCGTCCGATAAACAACCCTAATAGCAACTACCAGAACAATGCTAGTGTCTCTGCTAGCTCTATTTCATGTGATGATGCATATTATTAGTATATAATATTCCCTTTTTACCAAAAAAGAAAAGAAAAGAAATTAAAGCTATCAGAATTTAGAGGACATCGTGTTGGGTGTGCGAACAAAGTCCCACATTGATAGCTGAAAAGATTGGGAGTTTACATATAAGGTGTAGGGATCTCTTAATGGTGTGAGGCCTTTTGGGGAAAACCGTGCGGGCTTGGCCCAAAACGGACAATATCACACCATATTAAGAGTGTATTTGGGCTAGTTTAGCCCAACAACTGGTATCAGAGCCCAGGTTCAACGGAAGGAGTATGGAGATGGCGGAGTGATGGTGCAGGACGGTGCACACACAAGAAGAAGCTAGCTGCGGGCTTCGGTTGCCATAATACTCTAACAATGTGGGTGGCACACAGTGAATCTCGAAAATTGACCCGTGGATCGTGGTAGTGGGCCACGTGGAACTTAGTTCGAGGGAGAGATTGTTGGGTGTGCGAACAAAGTCCCACGTTGGTAGCTGAAAAGATTGGGAGTCTGCATATAAGGTATATGATCTCTTAATGGTGTGAGGCCTTTTAGGGAAAATCGTGCGGGCTTGGCCCAAAGCGGACAATATCACACCATATTAAGAGTGTATTTGGGCTAGTTTAGCCCAACAACTGGTATCAGAGCCCAGGTTCAGCGGAACGAGTATGGAGATGGCGGAGTAATGGTGGAGGACGGTGCACACACAAGAAGAAGCTAGTTGCGGGCTTCGGTTGCCATAATACTCTAACAATGTGGGTGGCACACAGTGAATCTCGAAAATTGACCCGTGGATCGTGGTAGTGGGCCACGTGGAACTTAGTTCGAGGGGGAGATTGTTGGGTGTGCAAACAAAGTCCCACATTGGTAGCTGAAAAGATTGGGAGTTTACATATAAGGTGTACGGATCTCTTAATGGTGTGAGGCCTTTTGGGGAAAACCGTGCGGGCTTGACCCAAAGCGGACAATATCACACCATATTAAGAGCGTATTTGGGCTAGTTTAGCCCAACACATCGATTGATAAGATACGAATTCTATTATACGTTTACTGATTTAGAATGATGAGAAAATATTTCATGTTCCCTTCTATATGTCTATGAGTTTGTACGTTTTGGATGTTAATCTATCGGCAGGGCTCCTCGCCATAAAGGTAGATTTCAAAAAAAAAATGTTCATACTATTAGCAGTAATCAGCAAAGCTTGTTTCATTAAAAAGATTTCGATCTTATACTCTACATCACAATACAATGGGTGAAGCGTTGGGAATTTAATGAGACGAGTAACGGTGTTGGTCGTCGCAAATACTATTGATGTAATTACGTAGTAGTTTCTATATGAGCAATACATTTTAACTTGTTATAATAATAATAATTTTTTTATTTTCAATATTATCAAATTATATATATAGGCTTATTATAGAAAGTTACTTGTTGTTGTAGTTTATTTTAATCTCATAGTGTAAAATTTTACTCAATATAGTGTCCGCATAGAGAAGTTAAACTCTATTTTGCAAAGTTTGTAAATATTTAAGATAACGACTTTTAAGGAAAGGTGGGGTATGATAGATTCTGTAGCTGAAAATTTATGAACAAATGATCTTATTATAGAAATCTACATTTCAAGGATTGGGGAGGGATACTTCTTTTGTTGTTTAAATTAATTTTTTTTTAATCACAGTGCATCATTATCATTAATAAAATATAGGGGTCAGCCAGAAACCCTACCCGTACGGTGTGGCTAAAAAATTAAAAATGCATCATCATTCGTAAGAAAATAAATACATATAACCCGTATGAGAACCACCAAACTTCATAAAAAGAACTAAATATAGAAATATTTTATTCAACAGGACATACAAACAATGAAACAAATAGCGCAAGCGGTCCTTTCCAACAATGAACAATCCAAAACAAAACATAAACCTTATTCAATGGGAAACAAATTGAATACTTTAAACTGCTAAACAAATGAAAATCCAGAAGCATACTCAGAAAACAATTTTTAAAGAAAAAGTTGAAAAGACCATCTAGGGACAAGTGAAGCCCTTTGGAATGTCCTTACTGCAAACATTAAGAAGTAAGCTAAGGGAAATAGGGATATTAAGGTTAATTCCCAAAATGTTAGCCTTAAGGGCAGTGCAAAGGCAAACAGCAGCTTCTAAATCCACAAGATTTCCAAGAAGGCTACAGCATGGTTTTACAGGTGGAGTTCCAAGTGTAACATTTAGTAAACCATTAAGCACATTGGCACAAACACCTAGTTTTAAGGCATCAGTTGGGCATTTTCCTTCAGAAGGAGAAGGGGTTGGTGTTGGTTTAGGGCTAGGGCAAGTGTAGCATGCACTGACCACAGTGAAGAAAAGAATATTGAATACAAGAAATAGAGCAAGTGACTTAGCCATCTTGCAAGATTTGCTAACAAAAGAGATATTAGTTTAGAGAAATGTATTGAACTCTCTCTGATGATGAAGAATGTATAATATGCTTGGGATTTTATAGGCTGCATGTATTAGGAGGGAGATTAAAAGAATGATAAGAGAACAATTTAGTGCATGTGTTAGTGAGGAATTTAGGCTGGCAAAGAATTGTAATTAGCATATATTTGGGTAGATCTAGGAAGCATGTGAAGTAAGGAAAACAAGTTGCCATGTTCCTCGCTGAGTTCCAATATCCAGGAATTTTAATTGTTTTATTTCGTTCTCTTATGAATATATTCTAAATATACCTGCAGTTTGTGACCCGTGAACTTCCCCCAGCATGTGGTACGTAAATTAATTCTAATATCCATTAAGCATTTGAGAGCATATAAGATAAAGAAATAAATATGGGGAATGACAACTTGCATTTCTTTGCTTTTTCAATTAAGATATTGAAAAATGGTCCACCAATCTCGTCTAAAGCCAACTTGAGTTGGGATGGGTATTGGGGACTGAATCAAAACCCACATCTACTGCATGCATATATAAAACATAGTACGTACTACGTAATACCAATATTAACTGTTTTAGTGAACTAAAATGTAAGTCTATAAATTAATCTTATTATATTTAGTCCTTTGGAAAATTCATATTTAGTTGGTGGTTCTTCTATCCTAATTAATTTAGTAGTGATATTTCAAAAGACAGTCTAGTTGTGCATGAAAGTCAAATTAAACACTTAAAGTTTGATCGGAGGTAGCAGAAGAGGCTAAAAAAATGTTTTTTTAAACTTAAGAATTTGGAGATACCAATTAGGCAATTACCATGATTAGTTGCACGTCGCGTACTACAAAACGCACAGCCATGCTATTTTTAAGACAAACATGGCAATTATACTGAAATTCTAGAGCATTGCTCAAAAAAGCAAGCCAAAAGAAATCTCAGAAAAGCTTGGTAAGGAATTTACACGTCTAGGGGCATCTGGGGTCTTTCGAACCTTCTTATTGCAGATAATAAGGAGTAGATTAAGGGAAAGATTGATATTACGGTTGGTTCCCTTAATAATTAAGTTCATTGCAGACTGGGGAGAAGTAAATGGGAAAATACTTAACCAAACCAAGCAGTGGCAAAGTTAGGAATTTCTCCGAGGGTATTTAAATTTGAAAGAAGTTAATTTTTTTTTTGATAAAGTGTGTTCAATATGTGTTATATACCTTTAAACATAATATTTTACCTATATACACAATGCAATTTTTCGATGAAGAGTGGTCAACTGACCACCCTTATGACCATGTGGCTTTGCCACTGGCACCGGATGTTTACACCAGCTCAATAAATAGATGACACATATCTTCACAAACATGATTATCACAAAATCATATTTACCTCTTAGTTTATCATTAACGATAATAAATATTGGTATGATTTGATATAAACATCTAGTGCGACTTAGTTTTTATCGGAGTAGTACATGTATAGAGAAACAATATATCCCTGATACTTGCATTTCTTTGCCAAAGTATTTAATTCATTTGCAAAAAACAAAAAAGAAGAAAAAACATATCTATATATGTAGTAATTATGACTTGTTAAGTCTCTTGTATACACTTGATTATGGGAGTATTCTATACGTCGATTGTTTCTCTCTTGTTATTTTACCTACTAGTATTAGTACCTGATAATAGGTGAATTTGACTATAATCACACCTTAAATAATCACTTTCTTGTGTAGTTTTAATGCTAAAAGTGATGACAAAATGCTCTTATTAGTGCTTTTCATAATTTGTAGGTGATATATGTATAAGGAAGGCTAAGGAGCAGTTTTGGAGTTAAAAGTGATGAAAAAGAGGCCAACTGTGAAATTTCCCAAGTGACCCAAGCAAAACAGGCCGAAGATTCAGAATACTGGATCCACCGCGGTTCCACCGCGACCGCGGCAGAACCGCGGTGGGAAGCAGCTGCAGAAGATTGAGAATCCGCGAGGGTGTTTAGTCGCGGTTCTACCGCGACCGCGGCAAAACCGCGGCAGGCGCAGAAACTTCGGGGACCAAAGTGTCAATTACGGGATTTTTAGACCTAAAACCTATTTAAAACACTAGACTTCGCCCAAGAGAGGCATGTATTGATTTTTTAGGTTTCTTAGCAAGGAAAAACATTGTGAGAAAATACTCTAAACATCTTTCTTCTTTTCTTTTGATTTTATGATGAATTCAAGCTTAGTTTATTTTTCCATAGCCATGAGTAGCTAAATTTCTTGTCTAAGGCTTTGATGGAACCTATTGGGTGATGAACTTCTTGTTTATGTGAATACAAATTGCTAGTTTAATCTTTATTTGTTCAACTTCGTGTTCGTTGTAGTTAATTGACAGGATCCTCAATTAGCTGTGCCTATTTAGTGTGCATAACTTGGAAAAGAGTGCATATTTAGGGTATTGTTGAACACCACTCCTAGATTATTAGAGGAATCTATAATTGCGGGTTTAAAGGCGGGATTAGGAATAACGAAGCCTTGGGTGCAATCTAAATTGAATTGTGCTAAATAAAGCAAGCTAGTGTATCTCGGGAGAGTGCAATAGTAGATTACTGTGATTACTCGGGAGAGATTTGCGGTAAGATTAGCGTTCATGATTGATAGAGATGTGTGGGTAAATTTGTATGAGCATAAACAGAAGGGATTCCATCAATAGGGGAAATTATTGCCTTAGCTTTGTCCCATAATTGTTTACAACCTTATTAATTTAGTTACAGCCATTTAGTTACTTGCAAGCTAGTTGTTAAAGAACACTCAACTGAGAATTTGAATATTTGAGAAGCTGGTTCTGAAGACTTGGTGGGTCTGAAGATAACGATTGATAGGTTAACTCTCTGTGGATTCGACCCTGGGCGTAATACTCGGGTTATATTTGCAACGTCCGCAGAGTCCTTTTTATAAGGCATAGTTGGGCGTGATCAAATTTTGGCGCCGTTGCCGGGGAGTTAACGGAATTATCAATTGCCATTGACAGGAATACAAAGATTCTTATTGTAGTCAGTTTTCTCTCTACCAACTTTTTCATTGAAAATTTGACGGTTGTTGATCTGGGTACACAGGTGCATGCCTAGAAGTTCTACGAGGACTGGAGAACTACTTGAAGGACTCTCAGACCCCGAGAAGACATTCCGGGCATTGAATCATGCAAACAAAAGACTTCAACAATCACAACAAATACACCAACTCGAAATTGACATGGGCGACATAAACGACCCCAACGTGAACGTCAGGAATGAGCAATCGGCACCTCCTGTGCCTGAGGGTGCACTATATGACTGGGCACAACCCACAGCTGACAATTTGGCCACTGCCATTATTGTGCCCGCAATACAAGCTGAATCGTTCCAGATCACAAATAACATGCTACACTTGTTGCAGAACAAGGGACTCTTTTCTGGGACACAAACAGAAGATCCTCAGCAGCACTTAAAGAACTTCCTGTCTATATGCAAAACCCAAAGGCAACCGAACGTGACTCCGGAAGCAATCAGGCTATTATTGTTCCCATTCTCGGTGACAGGAGCTGCTCAGGTTTGGCTAAACTCGCTTCCCATAAACTCTATAGCAACTTGGGATGAGTTGGTCAAGCAATTTCACAACAAGTTCAATCCGCCCAACAAGACCGCTCAACAAATTGATGAGATTGTGAGCTTGAAACAGAAACCCATGGAGACACTAACACGAGACATGGGGCAGGTTTAAAGGAATGTTGGTTATGTGTTCCCCACATGGTTGTTCCAGAACAGATGTTGGACAGGACGGTTTTACATGGGGACTGTCAGACAGCTTGAAGAATATCGTTGTGCCTCGGCTGGTGGGCATTCTTGAGCAGACTTGGAGAGAAGGTCAGAATTTGCTCGACAAGAGTGGCGCAGAATTCAGGTTGGATATTGCTAGGGCGAAATGCAAGCCTATCAGCTCCTGCATCGTGAGTGCGACTGGGGTT